TATATAGCACATTTCCGAAAAAAAGTATCCCAATGCACTTTACATTGGAATACTCATTTTCAAAACCTTTAGTACTACTTCCTTTCTTCTTATGAAATATAATAGTCCAGTTTACTATTTAGTTTTAGTTTTGTTTTAGCTTTGTTTTCGTAGAGGTTTTACTGCATAAGGTCATATGAGCGCCAGAAGATTAGAGGTGTTACAAGAGAGTAACAAACATAAAAAAGAAGAAGGGGAGATAAAGATGATAGATATTTGATAAATGTAATATGCCTTATGCAGATGCGAACGCCGTAAAACCCTCTACTATAAAAAAAAATAATTTAATACACAAAAGAAAACTTGTTCTCTCTTTCTTATGCCCTTTCTCCTTCGCCAAAAAAAAAGTGTGGATCGTCATACCCTTAATATTTTAATTATAACTACTTACCTCTCCCCCGCACAGATACTGAAAGAGTTCAGCGAGACGTCCATCTTAAACATCATGGACATCACAGAGCAGGTGAGGGAGCAACGCCAGGTGCTGGACACCCAGGGAGAAGATGCCATCGTGTCTCCGAGAGAACGCATTTACCTGCCCGCCTCGCAAGACACTGCCAGACAGATCGGCTTGGACGATTTCTCTGACGAACAAAAAGAATAGAGACTTCAAGTTATGACGTTATGATTCCAGTTGCAAGCGCCATAAAACTGACTCTTACTAAACTGACTTACTTTCAGAGACTTCAAGTGTGAAGTGTGGATGGAGTTATGTACAGTCAAGTCTGATTAAACCACCAAAATCTGTATAACGACAGGATTTTCTTTGGTTTAGCTCGATTTTTTATTTAGAAAGGGTTGCTCAAATAGTGATGATTGTTGACAGCGTAGAGTTGGGATGGTATACTTGCGGCAAGTCTCACTTTTAAAAAGTTTTATCTCATCTTCCTCATTCAGTATCTGAAATTTGAGCTGCAAGCTAGTGTAAGCCTTGTGCTTTCTCTTTAAACACCATTGTCAGCTTGCTTAACCTGCCAAACAGTCATAAAGAGACGAAAGAGTAGTAAGAGTGGCGTCGGTTACCTAGTGGTTAGGCTACCGGACTCGTAATCGTGAGGTTGCGGGTTTGGGGGTTCGAGCTGCGGGCTCGATGTTGTGTCCTTGGAAAGGCACTTTACTCGAATTTTTCCCCACTTCACCCAGGTGAAAATGGGTACCCAGCTAATAGACAGTGAAAAATCTAGTCAGTTTGATAGTGTTAGAGCGCTTAACCAGCTGATTGCACTGTATGCTTCCCGAGAAGATGAGAATATTTCTGAGTGTTCTATGGTCAGCTGGGGTATTAATATACTCGTAGTGTAACGGTCATAGAGCTTGCTTTCGAGTGGGGACATTCGCTATACAATTGCTATTTATTATTTCTCTTCAAATGACATTTTCAGCTTGCTTAAAACATACGCCAAACAGTATAGAGACGAAAGAGTAGCTAGAGAAGTGAGAAAGAAAGCCCAAAGTTATTGATGTCATGAAACACACCACGTGCCATCGCATGCTCGTGTGTAGGACCTGTGTGAACTAGCTTCAGCAGAGACCAAAATAGCCTATGACCAACTGAAGATTGTGCAATAGACGTACGTTCGCCTATAATTTATATGCAGTCTCTCTCTCCCTCTGTTTGTCTGTCTGTGTGTCTGTCTCTGTCTCTGTCTGTCTCTTTCCCTCCCTCTCTCTCTCTCTTTCACTCTCTCTTTCCTCTCTCTCTCTCTCTCTCTCTCTCTCTCTCTCTCTGTCTTTGTCTCTTAGGCTATGTATTCCACACCTTTCAAAATCAAACCATATCCTTAGGTTTTTTTCCCCAAGTTTCATCTTGCAGTTTCTTTACCTTTGAACTGTGATAAATTAAAAAATAAAAAAACGTCTCAAAGTCAAAGGTCAGACTGTGGGTGGTTGGTGGGTGCTCTGGTGTGGTTTGCTCCTTCTTTGCTATCGAACATCTGTCGTCCTTATCTGATCTCCCATCCTTCTATTTTGTGTTTGTTACTCTCTTATAACACCTCTAATCTTCGGGACATGTATGACCTCATTGTGTTGTAAAGGGCGTAAAACACTTATTAAGACTACATATAATTTTAAAAACTAAAAAGGCCACGCCTGTTGTGTTCATACACTGCCAGTCTCCCCCCCCCCCCCCTACAGAGAAGTTGACATTTTCTGCTTCCCCTATGATTATAATCATAACTTTAGCGTCTGCGTTTGTTGCGGCCGCAATTTAAAATTTTTTTTTTAATCCGCGAATAGCGACCACAATTTCAGCATTTTTCCACAAAATACATTACACGTTTAGGGTTAAAACGGCTAATCTTCAGATAGGTGAATACATACCCTCATAATTTGTTACTTTTTGTGGTTGTCTGTGAGCTGTTCTAATTTTGAGTTCATTCTGTTCTGAGACCTTTATTTTACATGTTTTTACACTCTGCGTGGCAACAAATTAATGATACATGTATTATGGATGCTTAAAACAGAGCACAAGAAATTCTGGTGCTTTAGATTACTCTATCAACATATATATATATAGTTATATATTATATATTACTCGCTAAGTTGTCACAGAGAGTTGAAAACTTAAAAAATTATTGGCAACTTTTATTGCAACTTTTGCCTTTTTTTGTGGCAACTTTTGGCGACTTTTGGGGGAAAAATATGACGACAAATGCAGATGCTAGATAGCTGAGCGACTCCTTGGCCCACACAGGACTGCATGGACTAGAAATCAAATGGAATACCTTTAGCATTTCTTTGAGATGTGATGTCTTTTTCGGTGTAATGCGAATATTGGGCATTTTTTAAAGTTAATGGAAATGCGCAGTATAAATGCTTTTTATTATTATTAATATTATTATTATATTATTATTATCATTATTATTATTATATTATTATTATTTTTATTATTATTATTAAAATTATTATTATTATTATATTATTATTATTATTATGATTATATTGTTTTGTTATTATTGTTATTATTATTCAGCATTTGAAGACGAAAAACCATAATTTAGTCGCTTCTGTTAACAGAATATGCTCCCTTCCCACTGTGATTTGTTATATTATATTACTTTAACTGTGAGACTAATTTTCTCGCATAAATTTGTTATGCCTGATATTACCTACATGTATTTATTATCTGTCTGCCCTGGTCATAATCAGTCGTAAGACGCAATGTGCTATTTGGTAGCTTTTTAAGAACAAGTGGGCTAACCCTGATTTTGTCAGTTTTCAGAAATCTTGACCTACACCAAAAGCGTTCATTGACCTACCTGTAGGAGAAGTTTGGTTTCGTTGGTGTGTATATATATTTGTTTAGTTATAGAGAAAACTCTCCTTGTCTTTGAAATAAACTGAATAAGGATCCAAAAACTTTACCTTCCTTTTTTTCAAAACAGCATTTTTCGGGATAGCCCGCTTGTGCTTAAAAGCGATCATTTGGTGCTACGAAGCTCGAAAAGCCAAAAAATGACTTTCCATGAAATTTATTTTTTTTTGGTATAATCTATTGAAAGTTTAATGTTTTCTGCTTCATTTCAGATAAAAAATAAACAACTACAATCGACTATAAATATTTAATTTTGATTTATTTTGGAGGTGTGTGTGTGTGTGTGTGTCTGTGTGTGTGTGTGTGTGTGTGTGTGTGTGTGTGTGTGTGTGTGCGTGGGGTTTGTTGTGAGCTTTGGTGACACGATAAAGGAATTTGGACCTCAAACCCTTTCGAACCCCCCGGGGCAGTGCCACTGACTCGACTGACTGTACAGTAGTGTCTTTAGGCCATTCAAGCTCAGTAGAATTGTCCTCCCCACCCCTCCCCAAAGAAGGGGGCTCTTGTGGCCTAGAGGTTAAGGTGTTGGCGTCTCATTTAAAGGTCCCGGGTTCGGATCCGGGTAGCAACGGAAAAATTTTCTTCTCTAAAATTGTCTCCTTTCACCTCCTTTCCAGCTCTCTAGCAATGGTCTGTTGTCTGCTTTCGTTTCCACTTTCTGCCCCCACCCCCTCACCTCCTTTGACCCCTCCTCTGGGCTACTGACTCTTTCTGCAGCCTTTTTACTGCTCCTTGGCTCCTCCAAACTGCTGTCTTTCTGCCACACCCCTAATCTTCTGGTAGGAAAGATCTACACCTAGCCTTCTCGGACAAGGGCGAAAAATCTCAGAGGGCCCGTGTGCAAGTTGCGCACGTCAAAGATCCCTTGGTGGTCTAAAATTGATAAGAGTAGGCTTCGGCCGCCACCCGGGCAAAGTTCGAAATTTCCTACCAACTGAAAATATTAGGTGTGTCCCGCGCGTTCTTATGACCTTATGCAGTTGCGAGCGCAATAAAACACTTACCAAACCCCCCCCCCCCAAAAAAAAAAATTAAAAAAAAAAAAATGATTTGGTTTATTTCATTAAAGAAAAGAATAACAAAAGGAAGCAATATTTATATAAGCTTTTTTATTTTCGTTTATAAACAGTACAGTGCATAGAGACCCTTTACAGTTGGGGACATGAGCTAGAGAAACGCAGGCTATTATTATATTATTATTATAATTACAATATCATTTCAAGTGGGTGGGCCTTGCGATTTAAACGCAATTCTCTAACCCATCTTCGCTCAGCTTTATCAGCACTGTAGCCAGCGATCATGTATCTAGAATCAATATATTGTGTGGTGAAATCAGGCACTCGTCAAAATACAGACATCGGAGATACGAGCATTTTTCTGCCAGTTTGGAAATTTTAATCAAATTTTAATTTTTGGCTCAACCTCATTTATGTCCAAATAAAAACACATTTCCGCCTGAATTTTACTGAAAAACATTGCTTAAAGGCACAAAATATGTCATTTTTCTGTTTTCAAGGACTCTTTAGCTATTGGAGTTGTCAAACTTTGGCGGCCATTTTCTCGCTAATTTCACCACTGAAACCAGGTGACCTCACTTCCTTCAATTGCAAATATCTTGAGTTCTTTTCAAGATAGATGGATATCTATTTCATTGACAGCAAAGCAAATAAATCAGCTTTCTGATGGTACCAATAGCTCCACATGCCTAAAAATTGATGAGCGCCTGATTCCACGGCGACGTAACACATAAACTTCAACATAAGTTAAGGACCACTTGCAAACACTCTGAGTGGTCTTCTTGGGACGACCTGCATGTGGGCGTTCTTGGACTGATCCAGTGTCGTCATGGTGCTGCCTCAAGCGGACAATGACAGAGTGTGACACTGCAAGCCTTCTGGCAACTTCTCAGATTTTTTAAAGATCAGGGTTGTCTGTCAAGGTGGTTCTTAACTTATGTTGAAGTCTGTATTATCACTTTCATCTATCCCTCCCTGTTCTCCGATAACCGCCAGTCAGAGTCTGGTGGATGAACAATATAATATATATATATATATTATATTTATATACATATATCTACACGTATGCATTCAAAGAAAAACAATTGCAGAATACCTTTGATGCAAGGAGTAGAAACAGTAATACAGGAAGGTTAGTCCTTGGACAGATTAAGGCACATTCGACGGTGTAATATTTTATCATACAGTTACTCAAATAACTGATCCACACTTTCCTTATGAATGTACCCCCCCCCCCCCAGGGCGGTGCTACTGACTGAAGTGTCTTTAGGCCATTCCCAAAGGGGGGACTTGAACAGGTTCTTATGCACAGTAGAATTGTAATTGTAAATGGGCTGATTCATCAATGTCATGCTCATAACTGTGCCTGAACTGCAACAGGGAACTGCTGCTTTTTCTTTCCTAATCCTTACTATCGTCATTTTCCTCTACTTCTTTTGTATGTTTATCACACTCTTGTGACCCGCTACTTCCGGGGTGCCTTGATAGTCGAAGTAGACTTTGTGCTGTTGAAGCTAGAGAGGTGAGCAGAGTAAGCCTGATTCTCTGTAAAGACTTCTCTGTCGACATCCACTCCTTGGCGCTCATATGACCTTATGCAGTTGCGAGCACCGTAAAAACCTCTACAAAAACAAAAACCTTATGAATTGTGCTGTGCACAACCACTTGGAAGTACATCCACACCCGATCCATTCATACCATCCAGACGTTCATAATTACAAAGCACAGAGACATAGGGACCAAAGCAGAAGCTCAGTTTACTATAAAAGCAAGAGCGGATTTCTTCCAAGTTCATTCTGATTTGATTCCATCGTACGAGTTTCGGAGGAAGATGAGATTAATAAAGCACATGGCTTGACACTGGGCAGTTGGAACTGCCTACAGTATACTGTGGAACTCGGTATCAACGAAGTCGCCGGGCCTGACCTAAAAAGAATCTCTTTGAATCCCAGTTCCACGGTACTGTAAACCACTGCAGCAATAGTTACAGGCTGAGGCTTATGACTTGACACAAGACATTTCCAGAGACCACAGAAGATCATGGAAGTGACAAGCATAACGTCGCTGTTGCAAGCTATCAACTTAAGTCCAAATTTTGAGAATTTCTAAAATTTTACACCCTCCGAAAGCTCCGTCAAAGATGCACCTTTCAACATCACCAAAATGCAGTTTAACTCTTTGACCATGCAATTTAAAATCACGTTTCTGCATAATTCTCTCGTGTTTGTGGAAATGAGACTCGACATATTATGTGTTCTAATACGCTCGTTTCTCGTCAAACTGATCAATAAAGCATTACCCAAACGTAGAATTCATTTATCTTTGACTTCCGGGGCAAACTAAAGGCTTGTTAGCTCGTACTTTTTAATATTCGGCCTGTACCATAATACAATAATAACTTCGCATCGGACGGTGGTACCGTCCAGCCATGGATACGGACCTCGACTACCGAACGCTGCCACTGTCCAGACATGGTTAAAGAGTTAATGCTATGGTCAATGCTTAGGTACAATTTTTTTGCTTTTCATGATTCCTGATAGAAACAACGCAACAAAAGCTAGTTTTTGTCTGTGATGCAAAAAGTACTCGAAAGGACTTAAGTTGACTGCTTGCGAAACCGATGATAAGATTAGACCAGACACTAGAAAGAGTTCCCAGTGGATTACGGTCAGCGACAAGCGTAAGTCTAAATAAAGAAGGGGTTATTTCAATAACGTAACTAAGTCCCACTAGAGTAGTTTTGAGAAAAAGGCCAAAAACTGTTTCTCGTTAATGTAGTACTGCACTGGGAAAGGCGAGCTAAAACAGAGGACACAGCTCTGAAAATCAAAGATACAATCTCCATAGAAAGCTGACAGGGTGCAGCCCCCTTTCTTTTATCATCCTATGCAAAAATCTCGATTTTCGCAAAAATGGACTTAGGTACGTTCTTGAAATGACCCCTTCCTATGATTAAATACTAGACAGTCTCTAACGGATCGCGATCTGTCTCCGATATAAAGATGTCCACCGAGCTGCCCAGCAATCCGCTCAACTTGTCGCGGAGAGGCACCAGGAAGCCGCGTTCTGTGTTGCTATGGTGACAGAGGATGACACTACTTCCTCTGTGGACGGCGTCCAGCACCTCGTGGTGCGACATCTCCCCCGTCAGCAAAAGGTCAGCGGGAACACCACCCAGCACGCTGCCTCCGGAACCAGCACACACGGCTACTGATGACACCTCCGGATCTTCTTCGCCTGAGATGAAGGAAAAAAAAAGGGAAGCAGATGTGACAGCAGAAATGGGTCGCTTTGAAGCACAAGGGGGCTATCCCGAAAAATGCTGTTTTGAGAAAATCGAAGTAAATGTTTTTGGACCCTTCTTCATTTTCTTGAAACCTATCTGTACGCCCTGGGGTCATTTTGTACCCCCGGGGTTGTATTCTTTACATTTTAGAATACTGCTAGTGTGAAGATCTCTTTGAAACTTTCAGTATTTCTCAAAAATCATTTTGACAGACTCCTGTGCAAAAACGAGCAACTTTCCTCTTAGGAAAGTGGTGGCGCAGAGTTCCCCACGTCGTATGAATCATGATTGTAAAACACCACATATAGATAGGGTTAAGCACAAAGGGGCTATCGCGAAAAATGCTGTTTTGAGAAAATCGAAATCAAAGTTTTGGACCCCTGTTCAGTTTCTTTAAAAGACAAGGAGAGTTTTCTCTGTAACCAAACAAATATACACGCCAATGAAGCCAAACTTTTATAGGTAGGGCAATGCCCACTTTTGGTGTATGTCAAGATTTCTGGAAACCCCCGAAATCTGGGTTAGCCAGCTTGTCCTTAAAAGCGACCAAATACATATGGAGCAGATTTTACTGTAATATAATAATAGTAATAGATAATGTATGGATAGCATTTGTATAGCGCAAATCCCTGCTCAACAGCAAGCTCTAAGCGCTTAAACAATCTATACTATTACCCCAGCAGACCTGATAGCATTCTGAAACAACTCAACTTCCTGGGAAGTATACAGCACAAGCTGCCATTTACAGGTGCTCAAACACTAACATACAGAGGACAACACAGCTATAAATAGGAGAACACAGCTGTAATATAAGAACAACAATGCTTTTGAACGCCGGGACAAAATGGCTGTATTTAACACACTGGACAATTTGTGCCTGTAGTACACTTCTGTCTGTCAATAAGAGTATTTAGTTTAAGTTTTAGTAGAAGTTTTACGGCACTTGTAACACAATAAGGTCATGATAGGTGCCTAAGAATAGATATGTTACAAGAGAGTAACAAACACAAAAAAGAAGGAAGGGAGATGAAGACGATGAATGTTTGATAGGAATGAAGGAGCAAACCATACCAGAGCACCCGTCAACCACCCACATGCAAGTATCTGACGTACAACAAGAAAAAATAATCTTACCAACAGCTTTCGCCACGGCCACATGCTTGAGTCCCAGGAAGGTTTTCACACGAGACACCAGCAGCTCCAGACTCAAGGGTTCTGCCAGTTCTGCTACACGTCCGGCTCCCGCTGCGGGCCGTGGGATCTGACAGACAGACGGACGGAAATGTCGGAGGTTAACCCTTAGGGACCCGAGAAACCCTCTGAGCGGTCCAGAACTTTAGTTTTAGTTTTAGTAAGAGTTTTACGGCACTTGCAACACAATAAGGTCATGTAAAGACAAAGATTAGAAGTGTTTAAAAAAATATATATTTTAGTAGAGGTTTTACCGCACTCGCAACTGCATAAGGTCATATGAGCGCCAGAAGATTAGAGGTGTTACAAGAGAGTAACAAACACAAAAAAGAAGAAGGGGAGATAAGGATGATAGATGTTTGATAGGAAAGAAGGAGCAAACCACACCAGAATATGTGCAAACCACCCACTAAAACTTTCTCTATAAACCAGAGGAACAAAAAGCCAGTGAACCAGCTTTGAAGAACACAAATGAGCAGGTGGTAGGCACGTGTTCTGGTGTGGTGAGCTCCTTCTTTCCTCTCAAACATCTGTCTTCTTTATCTCTCGATCCTCTTTCTTTTTTGTGTTAGCTACTCTCTTGTAACACCTCTAATCTTCCGCACTTATATGACCCTATTGTGTTGCAAGCGCAGTAAAGCTCTTACTACAACTAAAAAACAAAAACGGGGCTCTCCTGGCCTAGAGGTTAAGTTGTTCGCCTCTCATTCAAAGGTCCCAGGTTCGAAGCGGGGTAGCGACTGAAAAATATTCTTCTCTAAAATTGTCTCCTTTCACCTCCTTTCCTGCCCTCTAGCCATATTTTGTCATCTGCTTTCGTCTCCACTTTCTGCCCCCTACCCCCTTTGCCCCCTCCTCTGGGCTCCTGACTCTTTCTGCAGCCTTTCTACTGCTTCTCCTAGGCTCCTTCTTACTGCTGTCTTTCTGCCACACCCCTGATATTCTGGTAGGAAAGATCTACACCTAGCCTTCTCGGACAAGGGCGAAAAATCTCGGAGGGCGCATGTGCAAATTGCGCATGTTAAAGATCCCTTGGTGGTCTAAAATTGATAAGAGTAGGCTGCGGCAACCACCACGGCAAAATTCAAAATTTCCTACCAACTGAAAATATTAGGTGTGTCCCGCGCGCTCATACGATCTTATTCAGTTGCGAGCCGCGTAAAACACTTACCCTAAAAAAAAAAGATTAAAAAAAAGAACACAAATGGGTGCATACATCAATATACCAGTGTAAGATTTAGTCAACATGAAACATTAGCTGACCTGAGAGAGCGGAGTGACTCTGTACGTTTCCGGGGCTTTGCACAAGGTCAAGGCCGTGATGATTGCGTTGAGCTCGGAGCTGTTACACGCCACCTGGAGCCTCAGCTGCTCACTGCCCGTTGACCTGGTCATTGGATAGCACATAAACACCATAGAATAATAATGATAATATAATAATAATAATAATGATAATAATAACAATAATAATAAAAACAATAACAATGATAATAATAACAATAATAATAATACTAATAACAATAATAATAATACTAATCGAATTTATAACGCGCCAGAATCCGCAAAAAGTGCTCGGTGGCGCTTACAAAACACACACACACCCACTAAAGTGTTCTAAAGCTCAGTACCACTACGACATGTATAAATTTAAAAAACAAAAAACCCCCAAAAACTGACAGATATTTCAGATATTGAGTTCCAGCATTATAAATATGCTTTCCTGAAAAACATTGTCTTCATTTTTTATTTAAATTGATTAATTGAAAGAGACATTTTAACATTTAAATCCAAATTGATCCAAAGTTTTGGGGCACAGATGGAAAGGGCCCTTTCACCCAACATTGTCCTGGACCTAGGCATGCTATATGTGACGCATCATGGTGAACTCAGGCGCTCGTCAATATATTGAAATAGAAGAAACAGGCATTTTTCCACTGGTATGGTAATTTTTATCGAATTTTAGCTTTTTGGTTTAAGGCCTTTTATGAACATATAACAACACATTTCCACGTGAATTTTACTGAAAAATGTTGATTAAAGGCACAAAACATGGAAACTTTCAGTTTTAAAAGACTTTCATGCTATTGAAGTTACCAAATTATGGTAAAAAAAAAGAAGGCAGGCAGATCAGGACGATAGATGTTTGATAGCAAAGAAGAAGCAAACCACACAAGAACACTTGCCAACCACCTACAGGCTTGGATTATGCTATACAACACATGTATTAACTCTTTGTCTCCCCGAGGGGTATTCCCACTATGCGGAGGGCCTTTTTTGGTAGGGCCTACTAAATCTAACAATTACGAAAACGTCGCTAAAGTGGTCATTAAATCTAAACAAATGAACTTCATTTTGATAGTTCTTCATCTAATGAATGAAAACCCGGTAAAAGAGACCTATTTTCGGCAACCGCTGAAAAGTAGTCTTATGTCGAAGTCGTCGTATAGGAATGTGCCCAAGCCGCTGTCAGCGACTCACCGGCACAGTGGTTCCGACCACGGGCCGCTGGGAGCAGCTTGCGGAGGATAAAGAGTTTGGCCGGTCCCAGAGTGGCTCTGTAGGTCTGACCTGTAGCTCACCTAGCTTGCAGCGTGCAAATGAACATAGACATTATCATGAGCCTGAGCAGCGTCGCTATATGGTCTGTCTGTTGTCCACTGAACTGTGCGATGCGTCAGACGTGCTATTCAACAGTGTTGTAAAACACGTCAGACATGTGTCTCGCGCAGCCTCGCTTCGTGTTTATTTTCGACAGAAATTCTTCACAGATCATCAAAATCAGCAAGAAATAAGGTTCATTAGGTGCTTTACTATTAGATATTGATGCTAGAATCAACACTTGACCACAACATCCAAAGTTAAAATTTCGAATCTAGAGGTTGACCTAGTTTCGACTGTTTGTTTACATGTTGTGTGCTTCTAGCCTAGCGTGGCTGTGTTGACACGCAGAGGGCGCTCACTCAGACGCAGAAGCCAACGCACAGTGCGGCTGTGCTCACACGCAGACGGAGTGCGCTTGACGAGCTGCAAGTCAGACCTACAGAGCTACTCTGGGACCGGCCTTAAGAATAACGGAACTCACCTGAGAACCACTGTAGAGAATGCTGTTTTCTGTGCAGTCAGGGGAGAGTCAGCTGGCAGGCAGGACACGAGAATTTCATCTCTCATCTCCTTCAGTCTGTCTGCTGCCACATCCACCTCGAACAGATGAGAGCGACAGTCTTTGGTTTGTGAGACCTCCAGTGGACGGACACTGCCCTTCTTGAGATCTGCGAATAAGAACAACACACAAGGCAAATTGAACACTGCTGAAGATAAGGCAGAGAAGGAGATGGGAGGACAACATTGCAAAGTGGACTAAGAAAACGATGGGTGACAATCTGAGGAAAGCAGAGGACAAAGAGAAATGGCAAGACCTGGTTTTCAGATGCAGTGGTGCCCCCACGGTTGCCCCAACCTAGGGATAGAAGAAGAAGAAGAAAAAGACAGAAGATAATCCACACTTAACTCTTTAAGCCCAGAGTCTTTTCTACCGTTTCCAAGAGTTTTTTTCTACAGTCACCTAAACCTAGTGCATTATGTACCATTATAACCCCAAAAGCTGCCTCCAACTTCTAAATAGCGGGAACAAAGGCTTAGTCATTACTAAAAAACTTGGTTCGTGAATAGTTTCAAAAAACAAATAAAAACTAGCACGAAATTAAACGAAACAGTTGTCTCTAGTACTGGACGCTCCCAGTGCCAAGTGGGGTTTAAAGAGTTAAAGAAATGGCAAGTGACAAAATAATTCTTCATTTGATAGTAATCTGGTCACAAGTTCTACACTAGAACAAGGGGGCTCTCGAGTTCCAGAGGTTGCCTCTCATTCAATAAGTCCTGAGTTCGAATCCGGACAGCGATGGAAAATGTTATTCTCTGAAATTCTCTCCTTTCAATTCTTTCCTGCTCTCTAACAAAGTTCTGTCATTTGCTTTTGTCTCCACTTTCTGCCCATACTCCCTCACCTCCTTTGCCCCCCTCCTCTTTCTGCAACCTTTCTACTCCATGGCTCTTTCTTACTGCTGTCTTTTCAGCCACACCCCTGATCTTATGGTAGGTATGATCTAACATCTAACCTTCTTGGATAAGGGCGAAAAATCTGAGGTCTCGTGTGCAAGTTGCGCACGTTTAAGATCCCTTGATGGTCCAAAATCGATAAGAGTTGGCTTCGGCCACGACCCGTGCAAAATTCAAAATTTTAATTTCCTTCCAACTGAAAATATTTAATGTGTCCAGCACACTCATATGACCTTAAGCAGTTGAGAGCACCTAAAACACTAACTGAAAAAACCAAAACAAAAAACCCCCACTAGAACACTAACTTAGTTTAGTTTTAGTAGAGGTTTTTATGGCGCTCGCAAACAACTGCATAAGGTCATATGAGCGCCAGAAGATTAGAGATGTTACAAGAAAGTAACAAACATAAAAAAGAAGAAGGAGAGATAAGGACGACAGATGTTTCATAGGAAAGAAGAAGCAAACCACCCCAGAGCACCCGGCAACCACCCACGAAAATGTTTAATGTGTCCGGCGCACTCATATGACCTTATGCAGATACGAGCGCCTAAAACACTTACCGAAAAAAAAAACAAAAAAACCCCCGTCTAGAACACTATCTTAATCAGTCTGTCTGCAACCACGTAACGTACCAAAAGCGGAGAGGAGCCAGTCGTTAACCCCGCCCTCCACGGCGTCGTAGCTGGTGTGAGGGGAGAAAACCGCGATGCGACTCTCGGCACACTCGATGAGCACCCGTTCCTTCCACGACGACTGAGTGAGGCGCTTGAGCGGTTTGAAAATGGGCGGGTGGTAGGACAGAATCAGGTCGACCGTTTTCTCCTTGGCCTCCTCCACCACTGCAGTTGTCAGGTCGTTGGTCAGCATCATCTTGCTGATGTACTTGGGCGGGCTAGGCTCCACCAGCAGGCCTACATTGTCCCATGAGCCTGAGGGGGAGGTGGGGGGGGGGACGTACATGAACGCGTTACTAATATCTCAATAATAATAATTACTATAATAAGGATAATAATAATTATGATGATAATAATTTATAATAACAATTTAATAATAATTATGACAATAATAATAACGATAATAATAATTATGATGATAATAAGGCGGGCTAGGCTCCACAATCAGGCATAAATTGTCCCATGAATCTGTAGGGGGGATACACACAGGTGTTACTCATACAATAATAATAACGATAATAATGATTATGATGATAATAATAAAAACGATAATAATGATTATGATGATAATAATAATAACGATAATAATGATTATGATGATAATAATAATAACGATAATAATGATTATGATGATAATAATAATAACGATAACAATGATTATGGTGATAATAATAATAACGATAATAAGGATTATGATGATAAAATGATAACAACAGTTATAATTATTATGGTAATAAGGCAGGCTTGGCTCCACCAGCAGGCCTATATATAGATATTAGGGGGGATGTACACGCAGGGGTTTACTCATCTCAATACCAGTAATGACAACTGACAGAAAAGTACGGGCAATGAGAAAAGTGTGGCAGAATCGGCATCATCAGTTAGAATTCATTTTCAGGGGTCTATTCAGCGCAAAAGAAATATATGAACAGCAAAAGCTATATTAAGGTCAAAGGAAGTTAAAGAAATAGGTATCCATACTTGAATAAAGCGCTCATCTCCAAAGCGGAAAGTCCAGGTTCGAGAGTCACCCTACCACAATATGCCGAAGGCCTAGGAAGTTGTCTCACTAACAAGGCAATCCCCAATGTCCGGATCAGATGCGGGAACAGCTTTACTTAAATTTTACTTGAATAAAAATGTGATCAAGGAAAGTGTTGAGAGAGCACTTTTTAAAAACAGGCATCTAGTTATAATATCACTGGTATTAACCAAAGTATAAAATATACAAAAAAGGTGTCTTTATTCAGCATCCCTCAAAGAAAACAAATTATAGAACAGATCGAAACAACCTCAGAATCAGGGGTGTGCAAAACATGAAAAAAAGCTTTTATCAATACGGCAGTTATACAGATATAGAGATAAAAGTCTGAGTTTTACACATTTGCAAAACATCCACCTGAAGGATAGTCAATTGCAATAAAATCAAAAGCCATTTTAACCCTATCCGGATGCCTTGGGGTCATTTTGTACCCCCGGAGTTGAATTCTTCACATTTTAGAATACTTGTAGTGCGAAGATCTCTTTGAATCTTTCAGTATTTCTGAAAAAATCATTTTGACAGACTGCTCTATGCAAAGCGTACGGGTCGGATTAACAAGTAAATTTCCTCTTTGGAAATTGGGGCAGAGTTCCCCACGTCTTATGGATACAAAGTAAAAAAACACGCCGTACGGATAAGGTTAACAAACTGAACTGGAGACTTTCCTCCAGCAGACTTACCAGCCAAAGAGAGTGGGGCAAATTTCTTGAGTTTAGCAACAACTGTATCAAGTGAATTCATGGTCAAACTTCCAGTTGTCCTCCAAGGCTGCGAACTGAGTAGCGTTATCGGGCTTTGATATCTGGCAGGAGGCAAATACACATGATACATTCATACATGATCGATGCAAGCGACTGAAAATATCCAAACTATCCTCCACAGAACTCGTCTACGGTGAGCTTCTAACGACTCCAGGAGAATTTTAAATCTCCCCTCACACCTCACTCTGGTCCGCTTCCAAACTCCTGACAGCATTTCGTGCAAATGCTCCATAACACATTCTTCAACCTGCGTCACACCACTTCACACCTCCGTCCTGTACACCTCCATCTCTTGCTGACATTAAGGAGAATGTAGGTACCTAGTAAGAAAAAAATGAGAAGAACTAGAGAGGTACCCTTCCTCTTAGTTATAATACTAAATCCTTTGCTTTACTCCTTTAGTCTGAAGTTAGTATTATAAGTATTACCAAAGAAAATAGTACGAAGATAGGCAAAGTAGGCTACAAAGTATGAAAGGTCGACCCTTTTTTTTTATACTGCCACTTATCCAAACACTTTATAGACTTAGATCTAGATCTAGTAGATCTAATTCATATAACGTCACAACAAGTTTTAAAACGAGTACAGTATGACAAGACAAGGCCTACTTGAATTTACTTTGATTCGTACTGTGACTAGATTCTAGTTAAAGATCTAGATCTATATCTAGATCTCTAGATCTAGATCTATCTAGATCTAGATCTAGATGTAGATGTAGAAGGTGTAACTCGTTTTAATATTCAAGAGTGCCACCTACTTCAGTTTGTGTTTAGATCTAAAGGAGCTCGTAATCAGCCTCTGTGATCTGATCATCAGCGTAAGAGACATCAATCTTTCCTAATCCCAAAGCATAGCATCGTTCAAATCCCTTTATTTTAAAGCTCACAGCTTGACACAGCGGGCGCTTGCTCAGCCAAGTTGCAGCTCGGCGACAAACTGCCAACAGGCTGGCAGTGACAATTTGACAGCAAGTTGATCTAGCAGACAGCACAGTGGCACAGCTGAGTGTCGCGAGTGAGACAGCAGCGGGGATAACTTCCGTGGAAGTCCTACTTCCTCTTTCGGTTATTTTACATACTAACTCTACCTCGTTACCGACAATTACCATAACGAACCTTAAACTTTATAATTAGGAACGGCCACCTGGACCGGCTCGAATTTCAATTATGTTTTAATAAGTTTTTAGAGCATAACATAGGATTTATTGCTCCCATCACCATTGGAAAGAGAGGCTTGTATTTTTTTTTTTTTACTTGCTTTGAAAGGTGCGTTCCCATTTTGCCACTTCCATCTGCTTCTCCCGTCTTATCAAGCCATGCAAACCTTCGAATTCCTAGATCTAGATCTAGAAGAATAATATAACAAATTAATTATCAAGCTGTCTTTTTTTCTCACTTTTTCATTTGAGGGAGGGGGGTGTATAGGACAGTATTGGTCATACAATGTCAATGTTCTCGATTGCCTCCAGAGAGAAGGTCAAAGAGAAGTGGGTCAAGGCCGCAGAGGTCCCTGGCATAACATGACCCCGTTCTTAGCTTAAAATCTTCTCCCAACAATTAGGCTCTGGTAGTTCAGTCACACTTCCGCTTGAACTTTCACACTTTCCATTCACTCACAAGTCACAAGGCGCCTTCAGTGTTTGTTTTGAAGTTCCAGGCCTCTCTCTCACTTGACCATTCCGGCCCAAGCAACAGGTACACTGAATCTTGTGAGAGTTGAACGATTCCTCGGTGCAGCGAAAACAACTCAAGAGTCGGAGATCCACAGAATTAGAAACCGCTACAATGACCCGCACAGTAGTGATTGGCATTGACGACAGCGAGTTTTCAGAATATGCCTTTGACTGTAAGTAGATATCTAGATTCTAGATCTAGATCTAGATCTAGAATCTAAATCTTGATTGATATCAAGACGTGTATTATAGGTGCTAGGCTAGGCTAGGTTTCTTGGTCTACAACTTCCTCAACCTGTTATGTCATGTAGATCTATAGAAATCTAGACCTGCTGACTGCTGTGAGTCTGAGAAGGAGATTCTGAACTGTGTCTGTGTGTGATTCATGTCTTTCCTTCCTTGTCTCCTTGTGAGGACATGATTTATAATTTATTCTGCACTACTAAAAAAACTCATTTTTGTTCCGTCCAACTTCAATCTGTAATTTCCGACATTCTCAATACAAATATTATTATGTTCTCCCAGTTCAGTATTGTTCATTAGTTCATTCATGCTGTTCTGTTCTGTAACAATTTATGACTGTGTGATAATGTCATCAACAATGATCAATGTGTACAAGGGTGTCTTTACTCAAGGATGTATTAGAGACCGAGAGATAGAGAGAGAGTGAGGAAGAGAGAGAGAGAGAGAGTGAGGAAGAGAGAGAGACAGAGACTGAGTGAGGGAGAGAAAGAAAGAGGATTACTAGGAGCTGTGCGCTGATACGTTCTTTGTATTATTGCAAACCAATAAATTGGCAAAAAGATATTATTAATCCGAATACAGGAAAAAGAGGCTAAAACAGCACCTGGACATGGATGGCTGGTGCCTCAATAAATAAATCATTGATGGTCTGGTCTGTATTATTGCACAATGCATTGATTGAGCATTTCTTTGTGGAAATGCGCTGTATAAATTAATAAATGCAATTTTTAAATTATTATTATTTATTATGATTATTTTCTCCTCAGTTTACACGAAACAAGCAATGCTGAAGGGAGACGTTATCATTTTGGTCCATGTGTCGGAGTACACGTCTCTCGTTCAGGCTCGTAAGTACAGAGTGGGCGTTGCAGGAATTTGATATACAGCTGTAAAG